GATTTTTGGGGAATTTTTATTAAAAATATACTTTATCCATTATTTCGGAATTTTAAGAATATATTTATATATGTTTCAAGAATATACAGTGAAATTTTTGAAGAAAAAAATTAAATATTTTTTAAGTTATAGATCCTTCACTGCTGCAATGATTCCGGCCTTCTCCGTGAATGAAATAAAAAAAAAAGCTCTACTAATATTGTCTGTACAATGAGCTATGATAAAAAAAATCAAAAATTTATTGTCATGGCGGCATTTAAAAAAAAATAGTCAAATTTTACCCAAAATTTTGGTCGTCAAAAATCGATAGGTCATTGTACGGAAAACTATATATAGAAAATGTATAAACTATTCGATAGTGATCGGATCATTTGTTTTTGAGTAATCACTGCAGCAAATTCGGAAAATGCTGTTTCGCGAAAAACGCGTTTAAAGATAAAATGATCGTTTTCATTTGTAGCTAATGAGACTCTCTAGCTGCCGAGCGGCTGCTCTTTAAATTGCTATAACTCAAAACCTATTTGAGATATCGATTTGAAAGTTTAATATGTTATTTTTAAAGGTGTAACCTACCGAAATATGAAAAAAACCGGATTTTTTGAAATTTCACACTAGATGTTCCCCTTAATTCTATAAAATTCCGTCTATGAACAAATAGTTTGATGTCGAACCAAAGTTATCACCGTGTTGAAAATTTTTTATTGCTCCTTTAGTGTGTATTTACTTACTATGCATACAAATTAGCCGATTAAGTTTAAAAATTGAAATTAGCCATAAAAACACTAAATACGAATAAAATGATTTAATTTATTAAGAATTCGCCAGCTCATTCATAAACGATAAATTTAACAGCAATTTAACATACAAACGATAATTTGTTAGTGCAAATCGATTATTCCCATTGAATCTGTTGCACGATTTATTGCCTTGTTTTTACTCTAATCTTATCAGCAAGAAGTGTTTGTTTGGTAATAAAATTATTAAACAATCATAATTTATTAGCTTTGCTAGTTTTCGTATATCAGTAGATGGCATATCGTTAAGTGTTTTTATATTTAGTTTTGTTTAATATCGGTGACGTATTTTCGCATTAAACTTTAATTACTTCAAGAGTGCGATGATAGGCAAACAATTTACACTAAGCAACCCAGATACAACAGCAACGCGGCTTTCATTTCTCTTATTATTTTTCGGCACCAATCGGAAACACTGAGTGAAGCCAGATCTTTCTCTACCAGAAGTTATTTATCAACATAGGAAGAGCAAGACCTGCTTCCTCTGCTTCCACCAGCGGGTATGGAATACTTTCAAAGCTCGAACGACATAACCGAGTCAGCGTAACTGCTGCCTCTTGATTCATTGATCTCTCTCAATCCCGTCGTATAGCTCGTTTTACTCATACAAGACCATACATCTTTCGAAGACTTGGTAATTGCTTAATCGTTGATCTTTGTTCGTCGAGAGAAGACTTTACTTTTCAGATACCTATACAGTCCACATCGGCGGCCACGGCAGCCGAGTGGTTAGCATTATGTACTGCCATTCGGAAGGCTTGTGTTCAAGTCCCCGAGCGACCAATATCCAAAAGTTTAGTTAAAATTCTTAATTGCGTTTGCCACTCGGCAGGGAATTTCAGCACCACCGAGTGTATTTCCGACATGAACAAAGCATTTGTTGGAAAATCATCAAGACGCAAAACCTCAAATTGGAGGAAGAGCTCGGCGGAAAATCGCTTCAGTGGTTACAAAGCTCCACTGCACTGGATTTAAAGGCTGCCATCGTCTGATTCCAAGATGTACGACATTAAATTCCACCTCAAAATTATGATTGTCAACAGTGGCGTGGGAGCCAAGACGCAGGTGCGTCGACCCATTCGCTTCGTTTCTTTGTCTAATCTAGAGAGAGGAGAACTACCACTACGGTAGTGAGTGTGACCCTGTCTTAAAACTTTTTTGGTACCGGACGGCTCGGAGAGGTATTTCCTAATTCAAGTAGCGGTTTTAGTAGGGATATCATACTTAGATACATCGGTGGTTAGCCCGCTCTTTTTCGTGTCGTCGAACGAAGTTTTAAAAATGAGGAAGAGGAGTAATGTTTCGATATTTTCTCACGGATTTTTTTGCCAAAATTTCATGATTGGTGAATATCTTTACAATGCCAGAATTGCCAGTTCTTTACTCACATTGTTAAAGTCTGATTATTTCTTTTGTACAATGCACCATAAAAAGCCTTATATGCGATACTGATAATGCTTCTGCTATGATGATTACCGCAGACTGTGAGATCTCTTTTCTAATCGTCGCAGCATACTTAAGTATTGTAGAATCGTCGGTCAAACTCTGTCATAATAGAATATCTCAATCGGTCCACCGCTGTTATGCTATTCTTTAAGCGGGTAATCACTATTCAAAACTGGTATCATAGTCGGTTAACGAAAAGTCTATTCTATCATCATTGATTGGATATTCGGGTTTATCTTCATCTCCGGTACGTTCCTTTCACTGCCATTCAACAGCTTAAAGAAGTATTTCCTCCATACACCAAGTACCCTCTGGTCACCGGCCATCAGATTACTTCCTTTCATTTCATGGGTTTTGCCTGTTGACCAGCTTCGCAAGTTCTCTCACTTTTTCCTCCTTCAAATGCGTATTACTTCTCTCTCTTCAACTCTCGGGGTGTATCCCACTACGCGTGTGTTCCAATTGGTCACCTGGTTGTGTGATAGGCAGTATTTTTTATCTTCACTGCAGCTGAACAATCCTCAACGAACCAGCTCTGCTTACGATGTTTTCAAAAACCACTTTTTTCTCTAGCGGCGGTACGTAGGGAGCTTTGATTACCCTCCCTCAGTTCCCTCATATCGTGTTGGTGTTGAGTATTGACAGGGGGCAGGAGTGCTAGTCGAATGCAGTGCCAGCTGGCGTTCTGGTCGCCAATTTTAGCCAATTAACAACAGCGCGCAAAGCAATCCTTATTTTCGCAGTTTGGCACCAGTTGGAAATACCAATGAAACCAGGTCGCTCTCCGCCTAATCCTTCCTATGGAGTGAAGGTCTATTCCTTCCTCTACTTCCACCAGCAGGAACTTCATCGAATACTTTCAAAGCTAGCCAGCTGTCTCTTCATTTGCTGAACTATGTCAATTCGTCGTACAGCTTATCGTCCGGAAGGGGTTTCACTAATCTCATATGCCCATGATTTCTCGATATTGGCATCTGGCCAGGATATTGGCGAGTTTTGCTCGAAAGTAAATTGCTATCTTGACGACTTTTGCCACTTCTTCGTTCAATTGAAAATATAACCGACAAATTCCTCTGCCGCCCTTCTCACCAGCTGGACGAAGGAGTACACGCTCAAACTCAATGTGAAATTCTGACTATAAACAATACAAAGTTACTGGGAGTCACATTCAAGAGCCTCCGCTCCTTAACTCCGCATGCGACCGTAATTACCACAAAACTCCAGAACGGCAACAAAATCCACAAAACGTTAGCCGGCAGCATCTGGGGGAAAATGACAAATAAACATTGCTGGCAACTTACAAAGCAAGTGGCCAGTCGGTCGTAAAATATGCCGCACCAAACTTGGCGCCGGGAACTATCGAGATGCTGTCGAAGAAGTTACAAGCTTGTCAAAACACCACACTCATGACCGTGACGGGAAACGCTTTGATATCGCCAGAGCATTACTTGCACAGCGAAGCGTCTATGCTATGAGTTAAGGAGCAGAATAATTACTGGGATTTTCTATAGGGAGAACCTTAACACCTCGCGTAAGCACAAACGTTTGTTAGAAACCGAACCACCACCCCGGCACATCATAAAGGGAGTATTTGATCTAAAGTACTAGATACAGCATCACCTACAACAACCGCTGGACAGGCCGGCGTTCAGCGAAGCATTAAACGAAGCATTCACCGTGAGTCACCGGTCAACAACTGATGAGTGTCCAGGTCAAACCACCACTTATTGCAGACGAAGAGCTCAAGCTACCTCGAAAATCCTGCGTAATACTAACACAAATTAGGTCGGTAGAAAATAAATTAAACTCCTACCGACTCGACCCCAACATACCTAACGTATATCTTGCTTGTAACAACTCCGCGGACAACACCAACTACCTCTTTGTATGCCTTCCAAAACCAACTCTGGTGCAAACCCATCGAAATAGCTCGTTTTCTGGACCTGTTGAGGGACTTGTACAGTTTGGTTTTAGTTTGTCGACAGAGGACTTTAACTTTCAATTACCTGCTCCGGTCATTGTAATTAGGAAAGGAAAATAATACCACCGGAGCTCGGCCGAAATTCGCTTCAACGGTTACAAAGCGCCAACTATATATAATATAATCTTAAGTTCCCATTCAAAGTCCGCACAGCAATAAAAGAATAATATTTTTTTTATTTATTTTCATTTGAGGATCAAATTTATTAACGTTCTCTAAGCATCTCTTTAAATTAAATTTATTTGCAATTCTTTAGTCACATATGTATGTATATATGTATTTGTGTATCATTCGTGATTTTTGAATTGAAAATTTCGTGGCGTTTACTTAACAATTTGATAAAAGACTTATTTGTTTAATAATATTTAATAAAAACATCAATTCAAATATCTTAAAATATATGTATGTATGTTTGTAAATTTATACGTTGTTCATATTTATGCTGATGTCATACAGTTCACATATATATATATTGTATATTGTATTTTATTGTTTCGTATTTCCTGAGCTGTTGCGGTAGGCTTTTTGTTGCAATAGTAGATTTTCACATAAATATATGGCATATTTTGGTTTTACTTTTAATTCAATTTTAGTTTTAGTTTTTTTTTATATATTCATTTGTTCTTTGGCCGTTTGAAATTCGTTTTCTACTTGACAAACTTTTCTTTTTTTTTTAGCTCAACAGTAAACAATTTTGTGATTTGCTAAAATAAAATACAACAAATTTGGACAAAATAAAATGGGGTTTGGTTTTCTTTGTGTTTTGTATTTTGTTTTTGTTTTTTTTTTTTTTAATTAAATAAAAATTCCGCATAAATGGAGTTGAATAAAAATAAAGTTAAATCTCAAAAGAATAGTATATATGTATGTATGTATGTATGAATGATAACAAAATTAATTTATTTTGCAGCTGGTGTGTCCTCAGGTGCGGGCAGCTTCTCCCAAGTGGGCTCGACACCCCAAATTTCTCTTGCATATTCGCAAATGGTACGATCCGAAGAGAATTTACCACTGGAAGCGATGTTGTTGATGGACATTTCCAACCATTTGGCTTGATTCTGTAAAGAAGAAATTACAAAATTTTATTCTCTTCATTCCAATTCAAGAAATATCTTCAATATAAACTCACCTGGTAGGTCTTCGAAACCAATTCCTGTGCCTTGATGTATGCCTCGTAATCGGCCAACAAGTAATAGTGATCGTATTTCAGCAAAATATCCGCAATATTCTTGAATTCATTGGGATTGCTTGGACTGAAGAAGCCACCCTGTATTTGGTCGATGCATTGTCTGATCTCAGGATTCTTGTTGTAGTAATCGTAGGCATTGTAACCGCGTTTCTTGAGCGCCTCAACCTCCTCTACGGTCATACCAAAAATGAAAATATTATCGTTGCCCATCTCCTCGGCCATCTCAACATTGGCACCGTCCAAGGTACCGATAGTGAGTGCACCGTTCAACATGAATTTCATGTTGCCAGTACCGGAAGCCTCTGTGCCGGCGGTGGAGATTTGTTCCGACAGATCGGCAGCAGGCATGATTTTCTCAGCCAAAGTGACGCGGTAATTCTCCAAAAAGATTACCTTCAATTTGTCACCTACAATTGGATCGTTGTTGACAACATTGGCCACAGCGCAGATCAACTTAATAATCTGTTTGGCTACATAGTAACCGGGTGCGGCCTTGCCACCGATCATGATGGTGCGTGGCGTGAAGTTGGCGGTGGGATCCTTCTTAATGCGATTGTAAAGCGTAATGATGTGCAAGCAGTTCAGCAATTGACGTTTGTACTCGTGTATACGTTTAACCTGAATGTCGAACATGGAGGCGGGATTAACTTTGATGCCATAGTCTTTCTCCAAGATTTGAGCCAACTTCAGTTTGTTCTCTTGTTTCACACGTGCCACGTTGCGTTGGAAGTTGGGGTCCTTGGCCCATTTCTTAAGCGCCACCAGCTGCTCCAAGTGCACTGGCCATTCGTCACCAATCTTCTCGGCAATTAGATCGGACAAACCGGGATTGCAGAGCAACAACCAGCGACGTGGCGTAATACCGTTGGTCTTGTTTTGGAACTTATGTGGTTCGAACTCATAGAAATCACGGAAGAGATCCTTCTTCAGAATCTCCGAATGTATAGCCGCCACACCGTTTACAGCGTGTGAGCCTACAATGGACACATGAGCCATATTGATGCGTTTCTCGCCATCTTCTTCTACCAGCGACATGCGACGCATGCGATCAAAGTCACCAGGATATTGCTTGGCCACTTTCTCCATGAACAGGAAGTTAATGTGATAAATGATTTGCAAATGCCTGGGCAATATCGACTCAAGCATGGAAACGGGCCAGCGTTCCAAGGCTTCGGGCAAGACGGTGTGGTTGGTGTATGCGCAGGTACGAGTAGTTATGTCCCAAGCTTTATCCCACTCTAAATGCTCCTCATCAATGAGAATACGCATCAGTTCGGGTATAGCCAATGAGGGATGGGTATCGTTCAATTGAATGGCGACCTTATCGGGGAAGTGATCGAAGTGTTGACGCACATTTTCGCGTGAGCCGAATTTCGAGGCCTTGTAGCGACGCACAATGTCATGTAAGGTGGCAGCGACCATGAAGTATTCCTGCTTAAGACGCAGTTCCTTGCCCTCGAAGAAGTTGTCGTTCGGGTAGAGCACACGCGAAATGTTCTCAGCCAAGTTACGATCCAATACAGCCTGGATGTAATCACCATCGTTGACTAAAATATTAATAAAAAAAAAGTGTATGAGCAATTAAAGCCAATACAAAATTGGTATGAAAAATTACTTACAGAATTTCAAATTGAAATCAACAGGACTCTTAGCCGACCACAAACGCAAAGTGTTAACGTGATTGTTGCCATAACCGGGTATGGGGTTATCGTATGGCATAGCGTACACAACCTGTGTGTCTACCCACTTCTTGCCCTCGGGTGTATCAATGACACGACCGTAAAAGTGCACCGGCTTCATGAATTCAGGACGTGCCTTCTCCCATGGATTTCCATAACGCAACCAATCATCGGGCTCCTCCTGCTGTTCACCATTTAAGATCTTCTGTGCGAAAATACCGTATTCATAACGAATACCATAACCGTAGGCAGCTAAGCCGAGCGTAGCCATGGAGTCCAAGAAGCAAGCAGCCAAACGACCCAGACCACCGTTACCCAAACCAGCATCCTCTTCCATATCCTCGAGGTTTTCAATATCCAAACCCAACTGGTACATAGCCTCCTCGCATTCACTTTGAATGCCCAGATTGATCATCGTATTTTGAAGGGAACGACCCATGTAGTATTCCAGAGACAAATAGTAGACGCGCTGAAGAAATAAAAAAATAAAGAATAAAGAATAGATTAGAATGTGTGACGCAAGAGAAGGCATTTCACTTCATGGTTTTGCAAAGTGAACCCATAGAGACATAATATTTATTGCGAATACGTACGAAATATGCTTAAACACAAGCCAGTCGATGCTTCAAGGACCTAACAAAGCCGACGGCATAGAAAGTGCGTATAGGGAGAACTACAGTTTATTCTAAGCCGCCTCCGAACGGCTAATGCATTTTTATGAGAAGTTTTTATATCAGATCAGAAATACACTCGGAGAGCATTACTTTCTCTGCCCAGGGCGGCCGCAATTGGAAAATATTAATATTCCCTGGTTTTGGAACAACGAATCGAACTCTGGCCTTCCGAATGACAGTATGCAATGCTAACTCTTCGGTTATTTCTGCCGCCACGTATGTGGATTAGCTAATCGAAAAACACCTGGGCTCATGTATTGGTGTTACATATCGATAGTCGAGCTGTTCTTACTCTTTCGTGCATTCATTGGCTAAAGACTTCGACAACGGTTGCCCTCAAGAGAGTACCTAAACTATCATATACAATACCTGGCGCTGGGTGATACAAAATCCCTCGGGCATAGCTCAATATTCACAAGAGTATTGTAGACAAAATAGAACGCAAGGATGGGAGCTTATCAGGAAAATAATTCTTCAAGCCACATCGAAAGAGGGTGTACGACGCGTGAACATCTGGCTTGCTAGCGGAACTCACAAAATCAAAATGAACGTATCAAACATGACTGTTGTAACGGACGCCGAGTTTTAAGCGTTGAGTTAGATCTCAGACAAGTCTTCGCGGCAGGGAGGAAAGCTGCTGAGCAATGCAAAGAACATATAAGGAAAATAATATAGAAAAAATTAATATCAAATGAGGCAGTGAGCCGCAGATTAAATTTTTCCAAAGTTAACATTTGTCCACAACATGAAAAAAAAATTCAGAATTTTAGAGAATTCTTCAGGCTGAAGGGAATCCAAGATCGAAAAGTTTTTGAGCAATAGCAGCGAAGAAAAGCCTACACACTGCATGCTTCCATGATCCAGAAAGGGCGGTGGAAGAGTTTTGGACACTTAACGACAGATCACAACCTACTAACAATGCACAAGAGCAGAAAGGGTGATAGTAGAAGTGACGCTTGCATGAAATTTAGGCAGGCAGGTAGGAGCTTCCATGTTAAGAGGACTAGAAGAAGATTGAAAATTGGACATTAACCTTTCCACGGGATTACTACCACAAGCCTAATAAATTAAACCTCTTTATGACACTACAAAGTATTAACAGGTCTATGTAAGGCGTAGAAGCCGGAGTGCTTTTTTCAAATCTGTGGTTTTCAATCCTTTTTTACAGTTAGTTTGGTGATCAACTGTTACTTTATTTATACTCAGTATGGTCTAGCATTTCATAAGGAACAGACTTACTCCGAAACAATGTTTAATGAGAAGGTGTTCACTTCATGATGAACCACAAACCCTTGGTGAGACACCGTTACATCCCCTATGAGGCACTGTGTTGGCAGAGGGCTTCATTGGTTCATATTTCTTCAAAAAAGAGAAGTCGATCATAAGGTTACAGTCAATGGGGAACGCTATAAAGCCAAGATTAATGAATTTTTCGTGACTGAAGTGAAGGATGTTGATGTGAACGGCATTTGGTTCCAACAAGAAGCGAAGTTCTTGGCCATAACATACAATTTTTTAAAGTACATCTTTGAATAGGGCATTGCTTGTGAGCCTTTGAAACACTATATTTAGTAAAAAAAAATGCATGAATATTACAAAATTCGTGAATTTGACAGTTATACGCCAACAATATGCGTACCCTTGAGTAACTTAAAAAAATTTAATACTATTCAAGCGAGAAAAATATATAATTTATGTCAAGTGAAACCCATTTAAATAATTTTGGGCCCAATAACATTTGTCTACCGTGTTTATGTGTGCGTATGTGTGTATGAATAACTATTTGAACAACTGTTAAGCACGTGTACGCTTCATAAATTCGTCAGACATGTTAAACGAACTTAAAACAAGGTAGCCCACATGAATTCATGGCTACTAGAGAGAATACTCTAAGCACGTTCACATCGACTGCAGTTCAAGTGCAACGAAACTGATTGGAAAATGGTAATGAAAATTCGAAACATTGGCACTTGAGAGTTAATGGGGAAGCCTACACAAGCATATGCAACCGTAATTATTTGTATATTATATACACTTATGTATGTACATAATCCCAATACTCATAAACGTAGATATAAACATAAACAAACTCCTAAAAAAAAGCCACAAAAGAAGAGCAGCATTCGGCCTCGTCGTGGTCTTTATACCCTTCATGATCATTTCAAATTTATGGTATATCATTTGAGGATTAAACATTAATTTTCGTATCTGAACTGAAAATTCGTTGTATGATTTCGGCAGCAATATCTCAAATTTGGAAAAAACATACATACATCTCTTTTTCCATTTAGTGATTTCAAAAGTATAGAGTTTTATTTTGGCATCTGTCAAACCAGTCAGGCATTTATTAAAATAGTAGATCTCAAAATAACTCTACTATGCGCGTTGAGATTGTTAAAATCTACTACAAAAATTGTGATTCTAACGTTACCACGTTTCGTGGTTGAAAGCCGGGTCCCCTAAAAAATGTTTTTCCCTCCTGTAAATTCTTTAAAAATACCAAGAAATAAGAAGAGAAGAGGGGAGAGTGAAGCGCACCATGCGGTATCCCAGGCCACCCGAGTACTTTAATAGCATTTTTCTGGGTACAACTGGGTATTTCTTTTCGCTGTAATTCGGCCCCAGATATTGTAAGGCCTCTGGCTCGTCGTTTTGCTCGTTCTACCTTAAATATTGCGACTGTAAGTGAAAGTATTTCTCTACATTGCCAAGAGCTGGCACTTTTCTAATGGCATATTATGGCGTATTTTGCAATTGAACTTACACCTACATCCATATAAAGTCCAGCTCACACAACAACTGAAGCTAGCTGACCGTTCTCAACACTGTATATACTTCTATTGAATGTTTGATCAAGAGGCAGTGGACGGCGATTTTTCGAACAAAATTTTCTTCAACATTTCTCACTCGGAGGCATACGTAAATAAATTGTCATTCTTTTGGCTCCGGAATCCTCAAGTAATGAAAGAATTTTCAGTCCGGCGAGATTGAAACCGGCAGCATTATGATCGTATAATATCCTATCATTTGTGGGCTGCAAATGAAAAAAAGCGACTTGGACAACATGTGGTCTGAACAAGATGGTGCCACAGGTCACACAACACGAGTGAATATGGTTTTATTGCGAGATAAATTTCTCGGCAGCATACTCTCTATTTTCTCTCGTTTTGGCCACAAAAATCGTATGATTTAACCTCAATAATTGTCAAAGAGTGGTCAAAAATTACTCCAAACAGATAGAGGTTTGCGAAAATTCACGAGGGAGTCATTGAAATGTAGGACTTTACATATAATATAATACATACATATAAAGGTTATTTATCAAATATGGAGGGAATTTCATGAAAAAATTATTTTAAGTGCTTTTATTTACGTTTATTTTCGAAAACGCAAATTAGATTACGTTGTTTTTTAAACAAGAACGGAAACAAATTAATATTCAGCACACAGTCTTAAGTCGTTTTTTATATATGCTAAAGTGGCCTGCTCTGGCTGGTTCCGACAAATGATCATTTCAATATAACAGCACATCTGTGTTCCACATCTCAATAACTGAGGGATTGTTTTTAGTACAAACAGACCGACAAACGTGCAAATGAAGCTAGCTAAATCAAATCAACTTATCATTTTGATCCGATTGAAATAATTTTGGATGAATCTAACTCTTTTTTCTGTGCTTTTACACACATCGAAACAAAGTTGTTATACTTTTTCATGTACATGTAGGGTATAAACGCTAGCGATCGTATAAGCTAGTTTGAATGAGCAATAACGATCACGCTACATTGCAGTGATCAACTCTCTCTCTCTCTCGCTCTCTTTCTTTATCACTCTCCATTTGCTTAATCAATTACAGTGAGTAAGTAAAAGTTGAAGCACCAAAATATCAGTTAATACTTTTAAGAAAAACATTCAAAACGAACAACAAATTGGTTATTATTTTTATCAGCTGTGAGCGTTATTGACTTTCATTTCTACTCTTTCTGCTCTTTAAAGCGCTCTTCATATATCGACTCTCTTCATTTGAGTATGCGATTATAAATAAATAAACAATATCAAACATTTGAATCAATTTTGGCCTAATTAACACTTTCGTGAATATATATATACATATACATATGTATGTATATTTTTATTTATAATTATTTTTATTTTTATTTTTTTTTATTTATAATTTTTTTATGATGAATATTTTCCTGATAACAGCATTTAAAACCTGTTTTGTTTGCAAAACTGCTTTTAGCTTTTGCAGGGCATATAAAAATATACCTTTAAAAAATAAGTCGTCAAACATAAATTTATTTCGCTAATTATATTCTCTAATTGTACATTTATAGCATATCAATGGTTATTAGTTGCGAATTTTATAAATATACATACACACATACATATATGTACATACTATATAGTTTTTTATAAATTCATGCTGATAACAATGTTAATCACAGCCTTGATAGCGCCATACATACATACTCATACATAAAATATAATACATATTCGTATGTGTATTTATGAGCATATGAAATAAGCAATATTGATAAGAACCGGTATAATTTTCCATTTGATATTAGAGCCATATTTTGCGTACACAATTCGCAAGGTGTTGAAGGCTTGAAATTGAAGTTACTAAACAAATCTGTAAAGAGAGGCGAAGATTTTTCAGACTCTGAACCTAAGCTTACAAGAGATTTTAGATACACTTTCACTCTTTAGCCATTTTTTTTACCAAGGATACTTCATTTTTAGAACTTTTACTAAGCTATTTGAAAATACAATATTTTCTCATTCGGTAGGT